CTTGACTCGTACATATACTAGATATTTATGCTTGGAAGTTTTGCATTTTAGAATGTTGTTATATTTAAAAGTTGGGCTGGGAATGTGGCTTAGTGGTAGAGTGCTCATCTAGCATGCATGAAGCCCTGGGTTTGATTCCTCAGTACCACATAATCAGAAAAAGCCAGAAGTGGTTCTGTGGTTCAAGTGGTGGAGTGTTAGCCTTGAGCAAAAGAAACTCAGGGACAGTGCCCAGGCCCTGAGTTCAAGCCCAGGACTGGCAAAAAAAAAAAAAAAAAAAGTTGGTTTAGACTTGGAATGTAGTAGAAAACCTGACTCATATTATTAAGACCCTAGATTCCATTCTCAGCATAGATAGATAGATGTACAAATAGAGATGGTAGTCTGATTATATTGATTTTGTTGCTATTGTTGAACTAAAATATGATTGCATGCCTAAATTGTTAGACCATTTTAAACCATGTAGTAATTGTTCCTATGACCTAATTGTTAACAACTCTAAAACACTGCATAGTTAATGTGTAAGTTATTTGCTGTATTTCTACATTAAAAAACATTTTAAAAATTCAGGTAATAAATTGGCTTATGACAAATGCTAAATACCTTTTCTTTATCCTAGAATTATTCTAGTATTGATGTTCTCTTACATAGAAGTAGACTTGCAAAATTACAGTCTATACAAACATTAACAGAAATTCAGGAGTTCATCAGCTTTATCAGAAAAGAAGGTAATGCTTTTTTTATTTTCCATTCTTTTTCCTGTCTAAATGTGGATGAGTACCTGCTTTTCTTTTGCTTACTGCAAGAACAGACTTAATGTATGGATTGGAAATTGCCTTGAATTTGTTCTACAAACGTGTGTTGAGGTTATTGGAATAAGTGTATAAAATAACAAATACTGCTGTGGGCACTAGCTATGCAAAGCTAAACAAAACATTATTTGTCTTGAATAAGTATTTAGAATGGTGGATGATTCTATGTCATGAGTAAGTGTGGACCCTGGCGGCAGGGCCTGCTCTGCTCTGAGAGGGCAGAAGGCTTTTGTTGGAGGGGCCCATGGGGCCCAATTGCAGAGTGGAAGAGAGCTTGCAGAAGCCCACTTTGCAGAAAGTTGCACTGTTGGGTGCCTGAGAGGGAGACCATTAACCAGCGAGGATGACTGGAGGTAATATGGGAGAAGGCTACAGGGGTCACTGGGTCTGTGTGATCTCAAGCAGTTTTATCCTGGTACTTATGAGAGAGGGGCTACCTAAGAGTCTGAGAAAGAGACAGAGACAGACAGAGACAGAGACAGAGAATATCTTTCCGAAGGAAAAGTCAAAAGTCTTTTATTAATTGTGAAAATATTGTACAGAGGGGTTAAATTATATGGGCAAGATAATGAGTACGTTTCTTAACAAGCATTGTAGCCTCTTCCTTTGTTTCCCCTTCCCAACCCTTCCCATCCTCTCCCCCGCCCAAAGTCAAAATTCTTAATGAAGAATTATAAAAGTCTCAATTATAAATTATAAGTCTAACAATGCTTGATTTTTGTTCTAAATGATTAAAAGTAATTATAAATGAGAATTAAATTTCAGGGTTGTTGGAGTGGCTCAAGTGGCAGGTAGGTACTTTCTTAACAGCATGAGGCCATGGATTCAGATCTCAGTTATACCACAAACAACTGAACAAATAACAAACTTTTTCAGGATACAAACAAAAATCAGTTTTCTTGTCTTCCTCAATGTTCCTTGCTGTAAATTTAAAATATTAAGTGCTTTTCACAGTTTGAGTTTGTTAATCTTTTAAATCTGTATTACCTTGATCCTGTAATATGAGATATATTTCTTTTAATTTTATATGTCATATAGTATTCCTAATTATTGTTTTCAGGCAACAGAAAGAGAAAACTGGACTGGAGCTTGGTTAAAAAAAGCTCTGAGCAAAAAAGCCCAGGGAGAGTTGAAGGCCTGAGTTCAAGTCCCATTACCAGCATAAAAAAAAAAAAAAAAAAAAAAAAACGAAGGAAGGGAGGGAGGAAGGGAAACAGCAGCAAATAAGAGGGAAAACTAAAACTTTAAGCATTATTGTGTAAAACTTAAATTCTGTGAAGATTATGGAACTTTTAAGATCTGTGAAGCTAGATTATTTTAGATATTAGAAATGTATCCAGGCCAGGTTCATATCCCCTATTTAAACATAGTGTTAAGTCTCCAACCTAAATTGTAGTATTTGCATTAATGTAAACAAAGATTATAGCCCTGTGTCAATTCAGATCAGATTTGTTTGTTTTATGGCTCATGGTCCTTGAACTCAGGGTCTGGGTGCTGTCCCTGAGCTCTTTTGCTCAAGGCTAGCCCTCTACCACTTTGAGCCACAGCTCCACTTCCAGTTTTTTGGTGGTTAATTGGAGATAATTGGCTTTACTGTACAGGCTGGCTTTTAACCGTTATTCTCAGATCTCAGCCTCCTGAGTAGCTAAGGTTATACATGTGAGCCCCCAGTGCCAGACTCCAGATCAGATTTTTGTCTTCCACAAAATTGACTGTTCCCTTGTGAAAATCTCCTTGTTTTTGAATGCTATGAAATTTCAAAATTGTAGAATAAAGGATTGGGGATTTGTAAAAAGTTTTGTATTAATTTACTTCTCTTTTTTCTTTTCTTTGTTTTTGGGTCCGGTCGTGGGGCCTGAACTCTGAGCCTGGGCGCTATCCCTTAGCTCTTCAGCTCAAGGCTAGTGCTCTACCACTTGAGCCACAGCGCCACTTCCGGCTTTTTTCTTTTTGCTTATGTGATGCTGAGGAATTGAACCCAGGGCCTCATGCATGCAAGGCAAGTGCTCCACCATTGAGCCACCTTCCCAGCCCCTATTTCTCTTTTTTCTATATCCACAAATGATTAAGTATCAGAATACTGTAGTGATTTGTGTTGCTTTTGTGAAAGAACTTCTTTTCTTTCTAATTTGGACAAGGAATTAGAACTAGTTTCAACTTACTAATGATGACTCCATTCTGACAGTTGGTTTTTATCATTTAACTGTGGGTGTGAGCATTCTCTAATATTATTTTTAGGTAATTTATCATCTCAAGTTGCCCTTAAGAGACTTCTAAAAACGTGGACAAACAGGTACCCGGATGTTAAAATGGACCCCATGAACATCTGGGATGATATTATCACAAATAGGTAAGTTGTGATCTTTTTAAGCCAAATGTGGCTTCTTTAGCAAAACTGTCATAATGGTTCTTCTAACCATGGCTTAGAAAAGCATGATATTTGAGCCAATTGCACCTCTCTTTCATGCTGATTAGTCACATTAAGTTCTAACAAAACTGGATTTGCAGTACATTATCTTCACTTATTCCTTGGGGGGATTTTTGCCCACTCATTGTGGAAGAATTGGGTGTTGGTGGTTGGTGGGGATGACCCCTCACCACAGACTTAGGTAGTGTTATGACAGCAGGAAAGAATGCTGCATAATGAGTTTTTATTGTTCTGGTTTTAAAACTTGGGTTCTTGACAACCCTGCTTTTTGCTTCACAACTCTTTTTTTTGTTTGTTTGGTTGGTTTTTGGTGCCAGTCCTGGGGCTTAAACTCAGGACCCTGGACACTGTCCTTGAGCTTTTATGCTTATGGCTAGAGCTCTACCATTTGAGCCGCACTTCTACTTCTGAATTCTTTGGTGTTTAATTGGAGATTCTTGATTCTGGATGCTGGATTCTTGATTCTACTCAGCTTCCTGAGTAGTCTGGGGTTACAGGTGTGAGCCACTGCCACCCTGCTTGCCTGACAGTTCTTTTATTGAGTTGTGTTCACTTCCCAAGGTCTGAGTTTTTATTAACCTTGGGGGATCTAGAGGGACATTTACTGTGTCCTTAGGGAAGAGGCCGTTGAGTTAGAGAGGTTGTACATTATTTGTGCAAATACCCTTGAGGAAATAGGGCTTAAGGACGCTGATGTCAGTTGTCACTTCCATTATTTCCTCTATTTATGTAATTTTAATTTTTTACTTTGAGATAAGTTCTTGTGGAAAAGTTGCAAAAAATGTAGAAACCTCTTGTGCTTTTTTTCAAGTATACAATTAAATTTTTTTGATATTTTATCACATTTTTTTAATTGGTGATATGGGAGTTGAACTCAGGGCCTTGTAATTGCTAGGGTCTTGTAATTTCTACCACTTGAGCTATGTATCCAACCCGTTTTTTCATTGGTTATTTTCTAAGTAGGTTCTTTCTTTCTGTTTGAGCTCCGATTCTCCTACTTGTCTTTTCCCATTTTGCCAGGGTTGACAGGCTTGTACCACTGTGCCAAGCCATTGTGCTTCCCCCAGAACTGGGATAGCAGACTCGTGCCAGTAGGCCAGCCATCAGTGAACATGAAATTCCATGAACTTAGTGATGCCCAGGCTCACTTTGAAGTATGATCTTTGACCTCTGCCTCTCAAATAACTAGAATTAACAGGCCTGAGCCACCCAGGCCCAGCTCATGTTAGTTTTATTTTTAAAAATTTTCTTCCTTTCTTCTATACCTACTATTTATTTTCTGAACCATTTGCATGTAAGTTGCATATATGTCTCTTCATTCTTATTGTGCTCATGTACATTTCCTAAGAGCATGCTTTTATATAAGCATAACAATCAATTTAAGTGCCCATTTTCAATCTGTGGACTAGTTTCAGTTTTGTCACTGTCCTATTAGTGTGTTCTGCAGTATTCTCCCCATCCTCTTCCTATAGGACGGGATGCATTTCAGAACCACAGACTGTATTTAGTTCTGTCTTTTTAGTGCACTTTATTTTGGAATAGTTCCTTAGGCTTTCTCTCTTTCATAACATTGATACTTCTAACAAGCATTTCTCACTGTGTCTTACGCTTCTCAATAATGAGATTTAGTGTTCTACCCCTAACCAGAGCACGCCACAGTTCTCAGGCTGTCATGTCACATGTGGGCCACATAGCATGCATTTGCCTTTTTCTGTGAAAGTCATTTCGAATACCTGCTAAAATGTTGTCTGGTTTCTCCATTTCTTTCTTTTTTTTTTTTTGTCAGTAGTGAGGCTTGAACTCTGGGTAATGTCCCTGAGCTTGTCAGCTCAAAGTTAGCGCTCTACCTCTTGAGTCACAGCACCACTTCCAGTTTTCTGAGAGATTTATTGGAGATAAAAGTCTCACAGACTTTCCTGTCTGGGCTCTCTTTGAACCACAATCCTCAGATCTCAGCTCCCTGAGTAGCTAGATTACAGGCGTGAGCCACTGGCATCCTACTCCATTTCTTTTTCTTTGCAACCAGTAAAAGATTAATATGGAAGATGCTTTGAGATATGCAAATGTCCTCTTTCTCATGAGATTTACCATCTCTCTTTCACATCACTGGATGATTCTTAGCTTATTTGACTTCTTGACACCAGTGTTTGCAAATTGGCAATTTCTGACTTCAACACTTGTTCCATGCTTGTTAATGTACATCTTATTATAAGGAAGAGTTCTCCCACTCCACATTCATTATTTTTTAAACTATCAATATAGGCTCATAGGTTCAAATTTTATTGAATAAGATACTACTTTCCTTAGATATTTCATGTTTAGATGGTCTCAGATTGCATGTTTGAAGTCTAGGTTTTGTCAGCTTTGTCACACAGTAGAAGATAGGGTGTGCATGGAAAGTCAGGTTGTGCTCAAGCATTATTAGTAAGAGGAACTGGAGAACTCTCAGGATAGGAGAAGGAATTGCATTGCAGCCAGGCAAAGGGAGAGTACCTCCCTGTCTGAACTAGGTCAGCCCAGAGAAACTCACTGTTGGCAGTTAGGCAACACTTGGAATACATAGGAAACACACTTTAGTTTCTGGTGGTCCAAACCAAGTCTGGATGGGCACATAAGACTAATTGTCAGGAAGGAGCTACCACCCTAATATAAGCTCTAGAGCAAGTTTGGGTCCTAACAGCCATTTACATCAAAGTGGATGGTCCATATCAAAATAGCTGATTCACTTTAAGATATGTCTATCTTGGGTCATTTTTGTCAGTGCCCAAATCTGCTGCACCTTCGAGGATATGCTGTTGTGATCTGATAGATGTTCAAGGAGTAGGGCACGCTGCTTATAGGGCACTGTGTAGGAGCTCTATTGAGGAAGATCATGGAGGGCTCTTTGTTCCTGATGATAGATTTACAGCTTCTCTAGTGTGAAAGACAGCCACAGTGGTTATGCTTTCTGCAGAACCAGACAGGTCAAGTACTCTGGCTATGTCTTCTATGTCTGCCTATTTTTGTCCTTCTCTCTCTGTTTCTTTGTATCTGTACCTGTTTCTCACACAGACACATAAACATACACAGATAACTACAGAGACCCAACAAAGATCAGCTCATAGCCTAAGAACCTCCTAACTACCACTAAGCCAAGATGTCATCTCAGGCCTTTGGGAAATCAAGAACAGCACAGCCTACACCACCAGTCTTACTCTTTATACATTCTCCTTCATTAGCCCAATCCCAAGGTCTTCTGTGAGCCCCCATCTGGGCTGCCCTAGCCTTCCTGAGACACATGTGACTGGTGTTTAAAAGACTGTCTCCTCATTGTCTGGATCGAGGTCTAGAACAGACACTAGACAGTGTCCTGTAGACATGGAAGTGACACAGATGCTCAAAAATGTTATGCAGTCATTTTAAAATTTGACTTGCAACTTGGAAGATGACAGAGAAGGTGACATCAGTGACAAGCATGTCAGATCAGCTCTAGAAGGTCCACATTATCACCTGCTGGTAGGGTTAGGGTGCCTTTCACATGACAGGGCTCTGATGTCTGGAAATATGCTAGCAGCCGCAATTAAGTATAAACACTACTTGGATCCTCTGACCCCTGGTCCTTCTCAGCATCCCCAGCTGAGGACAGAATTGCAACTCCCAGGAATCTTTGTGTTTGACCAGGCCAGACAACATGAGATTTTCCTTTATTGGCTGCTAGCAACTTGATTATGATGTGTCTAGGTATGATTTTTATCCCATTTGAGTTTATTGAGCTTTTTTTTTGGTCCTTGGGCTTGAACTCTGGGCCTGGGCGCTGTCCCTCAGCTCTTCAGCTCAAGGCTAACATACTACCACTTGAGCCACAGAACTACTTGGGTTTTCTGGTGCTTTATTGGAGATAAGAGTCTCACAGACTTTCCTGCCCAGGTTGGCTTTGAACCATGATCCTCAGATCTCAGCTCCTGAGTAGCTAGGATAACAGGCGTGAGCCACCAGCGCCCAGCTCTGAGCTTTTTTCTTTATTTTTAAAATTATCTGTAAGTAGTTGTACAGAGGGGCTTCAATTAAGCATGTCAATTTATGTGAACATTGCATTTTCTTCAGTGTCTCAGCATCATTCGCTCTCCATTTACCCCAACCTTACCCAGCTCTCAAGTTTTACCGAGTGTCTTGAATCTGTATATATCACCAAATTTGCAGAGTTTGCTCTCACTATTTTTCCAATACCGTTAACCCTAATCAGATGTTTTGATATAGCTCACTAGGTCTGTGTATATTTCATTCAGTTTGTTTTTGTGGGGGGGTGGGGGGGAAGTAGTAGGAATTCAGTTGTGGGACTTGAACTCTGGGCCAGGGTATTGTCCCTCAGCTCTTCAGCTCAAGGCTAGCACTCTACCACTTGAGCCACAGCGCCACTTCTGTTTTTTTGGTGGTTAATTGGAGATAAGGATCTCACAGACTTTCCTGCTGGGCTGGCTTTGAACGGTGATCCTCAGATCTCAGCCTCCTGAGTAGCTAGGATTACAGGCATGAGTTCTGGTACCCAAACAATCTCTTTTTTCTTTATTCTTTAGACTAAACCTCTATTGACTTGTTTTGAGGCTTGTTGACCTGCCATTTCCCTCCATTTTCTTCATCTCTATTGAGCTTGTCTAGTCTAAGTATTTTATATCAGGTACTTTAGTTTTCACTTGTAAAATTTACATGTTTTTCTTTGGCTGTATAGAGGTATCCATCATTTTCAATGTGTATTTGGGAGGGGCATATTTAAAGTAACTGCCTTAAGGAACTTGTATGATTCTTCTGACACATGAGTCTTTTAGATACTATCAGCTAAATCTTTTTCCACTGAAAATTGATACAATTTCTTGATTCTTCTGATCAGTTCATTTCGAATTATATCATGGCAATTGTGAATATTCTCTTGGGTAGACTGGTTTCTTGTGTAATTCTCTGGCAGGTGATCAGCCCAGTTCTATCTGGCCAGAAAGACTTTCTCTTGCCTCTCTTGGTTCAGACCTCAGTCTGGCTTTAAGTCATTATCATACACTGTTTTGAGTCTTCCCTGCACTTTCACGTCTCCATAGGCTGAAACCTGGATGGTTCATGCATAGAGCTCATCTCTGATTGTTATGATCTCTCACATTCATGCTATTCCTACAGGCCAGTCTCTTCTGGCTCCTTTTGGGGCTTCTCTGGGCAGAAAGCACAGTCACAGAATCTCAGTTGCTCACATTGCCACATCATTCCATAATGGCAGCCAGCTTCCTGCACAGAAAAGCAGAAGAAAAAAGACGTGAGAAACTGATTCCAGTAGCAGAACCTTCTCCCAGTTGTGATTTCTCTGAACACAATAGCATGAATATTTTATTTATTCTATAATCAGGGAGTTGTATTTTGTATTTTAGTGAGAGTTTGTAGTCATTACCAACAAAGAGCTGGACTCCTAGGGTTATACTGCCACACTGGAGCCACAAGTCTATTCTTTCTAGGGAAAAAAGGGCTCTGTTCTCACCAACATGCCACATAAAAAAGTGCCACATGTATGAAACTTCTCTACCATTGTTTCATTTATTTTTGTCTCTGGGATTCCCTTGTCAGTTCTGCCACCTGGAATTGAGTACCTCCCTGATGGCACAGGAGATTCCATCTCATGAGATTTCCACTGTCCCTCTTATCATCCTCCTCTTTCTGTTATTGCAGGGCATGTTATTCATACTGATGAGTGAACAATTTTTTTATTTAAGGAGCTGCACAAAGGGATTTCAATTCAACGTGTCAGTAATATAGCAAGACCTCTATCTCAAAAAAGTTCCTGTATGAACAATAGAAAATTGCTTTATTATTGATTAGGGATGAACAGTATATCTTTTTTTTTAATTTAATTTAATTTTATTTGTGAACATACTATACAGAGGGGTTACAATTGCATGGGCAGGATAATGCGTACATTTCTTACCAAGCATTGCAGCCTCCTCCTTTGTTTACCCTTCACATCACTTCCCAGCCTCCCCCTCCCCCCACATCCCAATCCTTCTCCTTCCCCCCTCTCCCCCCCTCTCCCCGCACCGACGTTGTAAAGCTCGAGGGATGAACAGTATATCTTAAGGCTCTTTTTCAATGTTGCTGAAATTAATGAAGATTACGTTATTTGAACAAGGTTGTAAATGTAAATTATAATATGTAATTATAGATTTACTTGTGAAAATTTGAATTTATATAAAAACATGCAAATTGTAAATATTTAGCTATTTTACATATAAATTAAATAATTTCTATAAGCATATACTTAGGTTTTAGAATTCTTAGTGATTCTTTAATCTGTTTATTTCTTCATATTTTTTATGTTTGGGTATAGAACTTAAGATTGGAGCTAAAAAGAAAAATGGCTTTTGACACAACATAGAGTATGTTGTTCAGGAATGGAAAAACCTTGTGAGTTTAAGTGCTTTGTGCAAGCAAAAACACTACATGATATCTAGAAGATTCTGTTAATATATCCTTGCCCTTCTTTCAAGGTTTGGTTTATTAAAACGAGGAAAAATCTGGTTTCTAAAATATATCTGTAATATGTAAGCAAAGCCTTAATAACTACAAAATTTCCATGTGTAAGTGTTATCTAGTAGCTCCTAGAATAGCTAGGATTTCTTTGATGAGTCTGATGTTAAGATTTGGTTCCCTTTTTCTGTAGGTGTTTCTTTCTCAGCAAACTAGAGGAGAAGCTGGCCATTCCAGATCATCACAGTATGGATGAAGATACTGATCCCAGTGACGGGGCAGAAGCGTACAAGCCAGAGGAAGATGCTCGTTCCTTGATGCAGAGCTGCAGGTTCTCCATGAAAATGAAGATGGTAGAAAGTGCACAAAAACAGGTGGGTCTAGGCTACATAGAGAGACCTTGTCTCAAAAAGCAAACAAAGATAATACCATTTTTACAAACGAGAACACTGCAACTGAACACAAAATCAAACAACCTAGTTAAATAAATGGACAAAGAATTTTACATTTCTCCAAAGAAGATAGGAAAATAGCCATCAAGCACATGAAAAGATGCCCAGCATTAGTCACATGGCAGTGCAAATGAAAGTCACTATGAGAGAGCAACCCATTAGTCAGGGCATAGTGAAACCAGTACTCTAGTGCCAGTAAAATGTTGTATCTGCTGTGGAAAAGGATGTGGCTATTTCAGTCTTGCCATCTGTCCTAGCAATACCACTCCTAGGCATAGACATAAAGACAGTTCACAGTAGATTACTCAGAATAACTGGGAAGGGAAACAACCAAAATGTCCACCAGTAGATGAATGGATAAGGAATACATGGTACATCTGTGAGCAGGTTATTATTTGATATAAAGAGGGATGAAGTACGACATGGGTGAACCTAGAAAGCATGCCAAATGAAAGAAGCCAGACAGAAATCTCTTCTGGTATTGTTTTGATGTAATGGCTGCCAGTGGCTAGGGACAATAGTTGGTGACTGCTAATGAATGGGAATCCTGTCTTTAAGCTTATAAGAATGTTCTGGAATTAGATGGGGGTTGTCTGACTTTGTAAATATAGTAAAAAAGAAACAACCAAAACCAAAACTAATCCAAAATGAAAAGGCCTATTCCTTCTGGGCATTGATAGCTCACACCTGTAATCCTAGCTCCTCAGGAGGCTGAGAGCTGAGGTTTGGGCAGGAAAGTTCATGAGACTCTTATTTGCAACTAAGCATCAAAAGAGCCAGAAGTGGATCTGCAGCACAAGTGGTAGAGCACTAGCTTGGGGCAAAAAGCTCAAGGACAGAGCCCAGGTCCGGAGTTCAAGCTCTAGGACCAGGGCAAAAAAAAAAAAGTTTATTCTTTAAATTTACCTTATCCTTGTTATTAAAAAAAAAAACAACAACGATAGCTGAGGAAATAGACTGGCTGGTTCAATTCAAGGTCATACAGAAAGAGAATCTCTTTGAAAACTTCCTTTGTAAAATAATTGTTTTTCCAAACTGTATGCTTGAATGTCTCCATGGCTTTTTCTTTTTCCTCTCTTCATATAGAGCAATTTTGCACTTGCCATGAAACTGCTGAGGGAGCTACATAAGGAATCCAAAACAAGAGACGACTGGCTGGTGAAGTGGGTGCAGAGCTACTGCCAGCTGAGCTACTGCCGGAGCCGCACCCAGAGTGCCCCCACGCAGGTCCTCACCGTCCTGAAAACCGTTTCACTGTTGGGTAATTACGTTGCTCTTGTCCATATTATTACGTTGCTCTTGTCCATATTATTATTGTTGCTGTTGTCATTAATTTTTTAATTTTTTTGCAGCGCTGGGATTGAACTGAGGGCTTCATGCTTGTTAGGCAGGATATAATGAACTACACTCTCCATCCTTTTTGCTTTAGTAATTTTGGGGATAGGGTCACACTCTGTCTGGGCTAAGATATACTGTGATTCTCCCGTTCATGACTCCTGTTTATGGGTGATATGGTAGGTTTATGTTGCTGTGCACTGATTTTTCTGTTGAGATACATTCCCATGGACTTCATTTGCCTAGGCCAGCTTGGAACCAGTATTAGCTTTCCACACAGTTGGGATGACAGGTGTGTGCCACTACACTCTCAGTATTGATTGAGATGGGGTCTTAACTTTTTGCCTGTACTGGCAAATTTGAGATCCTCCCAATCCCCGCTTCTGTAGTAGATAAGATTATAGATGCGAGTTACTGGTGCCAAACTAAGTTTTGGGTTTTTTTTTGTGTTATAGCTTTGAAAAATATTTTTTTTCTTTTTTTCTTTTTTTGGTCCAGTCATGGGGCCTGAACTCTGGGCCTGGGCACTGTCCCTCAGCTCTTCAGCTCAAGGCTAGCTCTCTACCACTTGAGCCACAGTGCCACTTCCGGCTTTTTTTCTTTTTGCTTATGTGGTGCTGAGGAATGGAACCCGGGGCCTCATGCATGCAAGGCAAGTGCTCTACCACTGAGCCACCTTCCCAGCCCTCTTAGTAACTCTTATAGGTACAGCAAAGGATGTCACAGAGAAAGATGTTATTTCTTTGAAAATAGAGCCAAAGATCTGGAGCCAGACAGCTACATACGCTGATGATGCTATCCAGGATGATATTTACAGTTTCTATTTCCTTAATTAAAGTTTTTCTCTAGACCCTACTTCACCAAACTTTATGTTAGTGGTTTATTTGAAAACTTTAAGCTTACACATAAGTTGAAAAATACTAAACAAGAATTGTTTTCCTTCTTAGTTCTGTTCTTTTCTTTCTTTTTTGCTGCCATGGGGCTTGAACTCAGGGCCTGGGCACTGTCTCTGAGCTTCTTTGGCTCAATGCTAGTGCTCTACCATTTGAGACACAGTGCCACTTCAGGCTTTTTTCTGTGTATGTGGTACTGAGGAATTGAACCCAGGGCTTCATGCATGCTTGGCAAGCACTCTACCACTGAGCCACATCCCCAGCTCAGTTCTGTTCTTTTCTTGATATAGCCTCTCTGCCTGAAGGGAGCAAAGTTTTCTTAGACATGGTTGGGTGTTCCTGTCCTGCCTCTGTGTGCTCAAGGGTATGGGGTGGCACTGCCCAGAGATGGAGCATGTGCCTGAGCTGCAGCCTCAAAAACAGAGCAGGAGGGTCAGCACTCACTCTGTGTGACCCATGATTATTTGAGTCATTATAGGGACAGATTTGCTAATGCTAAGAGTATGAGCATACTTGCCTAACATCTGTGATGCCCAGGCTTTGATTCCCACACCGTAATCAAAGCAGTCCTGCAATTACAGGTTGTATTGCTTATAGTTTGTAACTGCTGTTTTTGGAACAGTCCAGTGTGTGAAGCACTGGCAGGAAGTGGTTGGTGGCAGGAAGAAGGATATACTCTTGCCAGGATTCCTGGAAGCACACGTTGTCACACTGCTGGGTACTATAGGCCTAAGCCCTCCCCAGCACCATATGATCAAAAGTGGGACTAGGGTTTTAGGTATGGCTGTTGTTTATCAGTTTTATGACACAGTATCAATTTAAAACTCTATTCCAAGGTATTATTGTGTATGCATAAAAGTATTAATAAGAGCTATTTTCTGGTATCCAAGGTGCTTGGCTAAAATTTAGAATGGTGATGCTTGAATGAAAGATTTAATTACTAGTTTTAATTACTTGACTTCTGTGCAGTTACTTTTTTCTTTTTATCAATATCAGTGTTTATTTCAATTCCATTTATGTATATAGTGCCTCTTGGTTATAACCATGCCTCTGCTATCCTCCTTTCTCCCCCTTCTGCATCCCAAACTATTCTTACCAAGTTTCCTTGTTCCATTTTCACACATTTTGATTGAGTCCACTGTTTGTCTTGTTACAGTTACTTTTAACAAAATTGTAATGGAAAATGTTTTTCCATTAATAAGTGAGTTTATGAAATTCTTGAACCAGCTCTTGAGGCCAGTTTTTCTGTACTTCCAAGATTTATTTTAGTTAATGCCTTAACAGCAAACAACAATTTTTTTTGGTCGGGGATGGGGCTTGAACTCTGGGCCTGGGCGCTGTCCCTGAGCTCTTCAGCTTAAGACGAGTGCTCTACCACTTGAGCCACAGCGCCACTTCCAGAAAACAACTTTTATACACTGTGAATGGTTTCTATTTAGCTTAATATACTTCATTTTAAAAATTCTGTTTCTTGTTTTGTCTTTCTTAATCCAACAGAAGAGAACAACACATCAAGCTACTTAAGCAAAAATGTTCTGGCTTCCTGTGATCAGAACATTCTCTTGGGTACCACTTACAGGATCATGGCTGATGCTCTCAGCAAGGAGCCAGCCTGTCTTGCTGACATTGAGGAGAGCAAGGCTAGACGGATCTTGGAGCTTTCTGGATCCAGTACAGCAAGTACAGAGCGGGTAATAGAAATGTTTCTTGTTTGTGTGCAGTATGTCCTTCATGAGCACACAGACTTCAGGCCACAGGAAAATGACAGTGATAGCAGCATGTTGTGTTTTAAAAATAAGTTTGACAGCCATGCACACCAAGTTTCTTTTGTTGAAAATTGACATACTCCATCTGTTTCCTGTTTGTTTGAATGATACAAATGTTTCATGATTAAGACTGGGAACTTTGTGTTGTATTGATGTGGAGAGTCTTCCCTGAATTTCCTTAATGAAATTTTACCACTAGTCATCATTCAGATGTTCCTACTTGTCTGTGGGACAAAACAGCCTGTTTTTGTAGTTAGTGTTGTCTAGCTTAGCTTTTTTCAAATCATGTTGTGTTTTAATAGTAGCAACCTCCTCCTCATCTCACTGAGTCCTGCCACACTTCAGTGGTGAGGCTTTGTCTTCTCACATGCTGATATCAGCAGTGTCTGCCGACAGACAGTATAAGACACCAGCTTCCTTCCTTATCATAAATCCCCAGTGGTACTGCAGTGTCCTGCTGACCTGCCCTGGCTCTGTGTGGCTCATGGACTCTCTGGCTTTTTCTCTTTTGTTTGGCTGTCTGTTGTATGCTCAGGACTTTCCTGGGAGATTATTCCTCCTCACAACTAGGACTGACTCCTTTTTCCTGATAACATAGCTTTTGGCATTAGTAGTTTATGTATTTTGTGATGGGGTCTTGCTGTGTTGTGCAGGCTGGCCTGAAACTCAAGTGATCCGCCTGTGTCAGTTGGCATGTTCAATGTTCCTTTGAAGTTACTGAATCCCATAGGTGGTGTGTATTCACAGGTGATCACAGGTCTGAACCAGAAAGCATTCTATCACCTCACCAAGGCTGTGCAGTCGGTGGAGGAGGAGGCCCAGGTGTCCTCCTGGGCCCATGGACCTGTGACTGGGATGACCAGCGCTTATATGATGCTGGCTGATTTCTGTGACCAGCAGCTCCGCAAAGTGGAAGAAAATGCATCCAGTGACTGTCAAAAGAAAAAATCAAGTTAGTGCTGCTATGTCAGTATAACGTCTGGGGGAAATTGTAGATGCTTTTAGTTTTCCATTTGTATTCCAATGACAGCTTTCTTGAAAGAAGTCTATTATCTTTTTTGAAGTCAATATCATCTCCAGGCACATGGCCTGCCTTTAAAGAGTCAAGTTGTCTTCTGTATATCCCTTTGATTTACTTTGGTTTATTTATTTACTTTTGATGTTGCTGGGATTTGAACGCAGAACCTTGTGAATAGTAAGTAAGTGCACCTCCCAAGCCCAAGGTGTTTTGAGATAGGGCCCTACTGTGTAGCCTAGGCTAGTCTGGAGCCAAGGATCCTTTGTTTTCATGTCCCAAGTGCTGGGATTATAGGTATCTGCACACTCCACTCATTTGCTTTATTTCTACTGTGTGTTTGTGTGTATGAGTTGGTACTGGGGCTTTTGCTTAGGACCTTCCTTATAAGCTTGTTTTTTTTTTTTTTTTGTTTTTTTTTGCTGATGGCTCATGCTCTACTGCTAGAGCCACACATACATTCTAGCATTTCTTTTCTTTTTCTGGTTAATTGGAGATAAAAGTCTCATGGGCTTTTCTGTCTAAGCTGACTTAGAACCTGTATCTTCAGTTCTCAGCCTCTTGAGCTAAGATTTTAGGCATGAGATAAAGATGCCCAACTTCCTCATATTTTTGTTTACAGTATTGATTCATATAGCTTGTCTTTTGTTCTGGGAATAAATTTAGTAATTAGCAGCTGACCATTATGCATATTGTGGTTCATGAAGAGTGGATACTCTAAAAGAAAAATTCAGCTTTCAGATACAAACACAAAAATGTATATGATGTTTGTTGATTAAAAGTAGTTGTTCAGAGCCGGGTGCTGGTGGCTCA